AATGCAAACTCCATTTCCTGCACTTGCGCCTGATAAATTGGAAGTGGTACTAGTACGAATAATCAACAATTCGATCGAAGCTCTAAAGACAAATTCAATCGGTTCCCCTCAAAGAAATGGAATAGTATCTCCCCCGATCGAACCTTTGACGAACCAATCAACTCAAAATAATCAACCACAGTATCTTTTCTTCTAGAAACTTGGTTTAATTAGCCCAATGATATGCTCTGATTAGTTTAGTCTGCTGGCTTCCGATTGTATTTCTGTTCCTTAATTAATAAAGCTCCGAGATGATTCACCAAAAAAAACTATTTATATGCTAACGTGACGGTTAGTCGAAAAAGTATCCAGCTAGCCGCCACCTTTTAACAAGTCTGGGCATAGAGTAACCGCATTGTCAGGCCATCCTGAAGGATCTTCGAAATGGTTGACCATGGATAAATTAGTCAATCTGGCTATCCAGGACACCTAGTGTTTGTACCTTACAATTAACCTATTTTTTAGAATAATATATATACTAGTTAATCTTATATGCAACATATATATGGTTGTGGCGCCGTGCAATTGGGCGAGCACACATGCTTGCGTCTGCGATGACGATTTCGAATTTAGTCAACTGATTGATACTCGTCGAACTTTACAGTGCATAATCCAGTTTAAAAATAGCTTTGCGATGCTCGGTAAGTAATTCATTCAATTTATTCTACAGGTGTACCAGATTCGTATCTGGGGTAGTCTCAAACGATCATGATTCTGGACTCGGACAAAACCACAAAAGAAAACTACTATAGTCAAACCTCAGAATGATGATTGGACAAAAGAGTTTTCTGGTGGTCTTGGTGCATGCCATGGTGTTGCTTTTATTCCATCTTGGTTACTGGTGGTTGCTTTATTCTATCTTCAGAACAGATCCAACCCTCAGGTTCTGGATTTATAGCAGCCGGTGACCATGTTCTGCAAGTTCGCCGGGTAATTTGCAATAGGAAATCCCATGTTCGTAACATGCTCTTCTTTGGAAGAAAAAATGGGGTACACGTTGGTCCACTACATGGCACGAAGCAAGCATGTCCGTGCATTCACAAATGTTCGAGGGAGTGCTGGGTATTCCTCTAGCAAAAAGCTACTCCTTCCTTTTCACAAATATAAGATATCCTAACTTTTTTAAATTAGATGTATGTAAACATGTTTTAGTATGTTTATTCACTCATTTCAATCTGTAAGTAGTTTATATTGAAATATTCAAAACATATTATATTTATAGAGGGAGTAAATGACAAGTTTGGAGAAAACTCATAATGCCTTGCTCTGTATTAGGGGTTGGGACCGTTCCACTTCTTAAAATTTAGCTTTGATCTTAAAAACGCAAGCCAAACGGGATAGATCAACAATGTGCCGCTAAAAAAAGCTGGAATCTAGGGTACAACTCCCTGCTTTTCATGAAATTCTTCAAGGGGTTCCAAAAACTCTAGTTTGAAAAGTCCTTTTGAAGTTGGGGCAAAATTATCCATCATTGCCACTGGTAAGTGGATACCCCTTCGTTTTCTACCCAATTTGCAAACTGACAATAGACATTTCCCACCATTTTTTATCATTCTTAAAGTTGTAGCTAGCTGTAAGCATTAGTAGAAAAACGACCTTATGTTCACCTCGGTAGTCCCAGTTCATTTACGCTCCGGAACTAATGTGACGTGGTGGGCCTTTGATCCCGGGTCATGACGAACTGGCACTAGGGGGAGGGGGGGGGCTTTGGTCCCCACCCTTTAGTGCTGGTTGGTGAACCGGGACTTCTCTATGGTGGAGCTGCAACTCCTGAACTGCTCTAACGGGGCTGGTTTTGATGGGGTGGAGTAGTCATAAACATGCCCTGGAAGCATTTTTTTTGTGTGGACTCTCTTATTATTATTTTGGAAAACGGAGAAGAAAAAAACCCACCCTCTTCAGCAGCTGATGCACACGGCCTTTTATTATTGCAGAGTGTCAACATCCAAATAGTGTGAAAACAAAAGGCATAAAAAATACATACAAGGGTAGCCTATAGCAAACTGAAAGAAAGATCATAAAATACTCTCACGCTTCAGTAATCCGGACCACCGTGCAAAAGTTGGACATATCCCCAGCAACCGATCCCTATTGGTTGCATCTAAAATTCGTGAACTCGCACACCCCCGCACGTTGGAGATAGGATCACGAGCGGATCCAGTTGGTAGTTCTGTAGATAGCCTAAAAAATAAAAAGGAAGCTCTCACGATGTTAATTAAAAACACAACCATTTCTATAGTTACATATAGCTCATACTCTCACTCGGATTTTAGCCTTAAGTTTGGGATGGATCGCTGTCAACCAATTCTCGAGCATATTCATGACTAATCTTATCCACTTGTGATAAGAATTAAACCGAGCATTTCTACAGTTACATATAGCTCATACTCTCACTCTCACTCGGACTTTGACAACTGAGCACTAGCTGCATGGTCGGAGTGAATTGAGAGGCTGTTTGAATTGTGACTATCTTTGCCACATATTGGGGCTGTTTGGTTTCCAGCGCCACCTTACCACACTTTGCCACGCCTAACCTTAGGCAAGTTTGACCAAGTTATGTAGGTGTTTGGTTCTAGCCACATCTAAGGCAAGGACACTTGCCTTAGTTGAGTTGCTCAAATTGTTAGCCACACTTTGACTTGTCTAAGAGAATCTTGTCACACTTTTTGTGTCTATGCATGTGGGGTTCACTGCTCATAAAAAAAATCTTTGCCCTAGGTGTGGCTAGAACCAAACACCTACATAACTTGGTCAAACTTGCCTAAAGTTAGGCGTGGCAAAGTGTGACAAGGTGTGGCTGGGAACCAAACAGCCCCTGAATACATGGCTAATCTTACTCACTTGTGATAAGAATTAAACTATTTGAAGCTGAAATTTCCAGAACCATTTCAGTTTAGGAAAAAACACATCATTTTTTGGGTATGGTGGCAACAACTCTGCAACCTTTTTCACCCGAGTTTTTTGTTTTTGTTTTGCGCCATCTCTAGCCACCTTGCACACAAATTTTTGATCAACTCACTAGCTCACCGCACTTGCTAGTAGCCACTGAACAGATAAGCTAAACCCCCCAACAAGAAAAAGAACAAATGGATACAGATAAGAAAAAGGACGAATGTTTGGATGCTCTTTCCAACAGTGAGACCTTTTCTAATGCATTGGTGCTAAAGTGGGATGCTAAGTGCATTAAAATGCTTAGCAACTAATGTCCCCAATGCATTAGTGCTTAGATTTTGTAGCTAAGCCGCCTCTATTTAATTGTTTAGTAATAAAACTCCTTCATGTATTGGTTGGTAGTATTTTTGCCTAGGTTCACGTGCTTAGTATTGGTTTTTATTAAGGTCATCATAATGCTCTCTCTTCTTTTTAATTGCTTTGCCACATCATTTTTCTGTCTATATGGCACCCTTAGTATCTGTATACCGTGGAGCACTGGGAAGGACCTGAAAGGCACGACACAGTACGTAGCACTGGGCCGGATATATATGCATGCGGCCATGCAGTAGCATGTTGCCCAGCAGCATGCATATCTCAGATATCTAAGCCGTGAGTGATGGTCGAGTCACAATTACAACACGTGCTGATGGGCGACTTATCGGTCGATCTGCCGGCCGGCGGGGCTAAGAGCCTGATTGGTTCCAAATAAATCATCAACTTATAAATTAAAAAGTAAAAAAGTGACTTATTTTGCCAAACAGACCCAACTTATAAGTCATTCCAACTTATAAATTATAAGTTGCTCCACCCCAACTTAAAATTTATAAGTCACTCCTTTTACATGGGTCCCATCACCTTTACATAAAAAACAAGATAAAAATGTATACTCAGGTGACTTATAAATTATGTGACAATCAAACAGGCATGACTTATAAATCACTGATTTTAAGTCACCTGACTTATAAGTCAGATAATTTATTGGAACCAAACAGGGCCTAAGCTATGGCTAGACAATTCGGCATCATCGTAGGCAGGAACCAAGCAAAGTGGTCGTGCTTTTGGGCCGTTTTTTCTCTGTACGTGTTGTGGCCGGATTTGCTGCCCAACTCTAGCCCTGCTTTCTTCCACTGTAGAGTGTACTAATTTGCATGTCTGTCTGCTCAGTGGCCTTTCCCTTTTCCCATTGCGCACGTGTGCGACTTTGATCCGAATCCCCGGGCGGCAAACGTCTCGTCCTTGTCCCGACACCTGCACATATAGCTGAGCTTTGCTGTCAGCCGCTGGGCATTCTCACCGTCGATGAGCACGGCCGTCGATGAGCTGGGTCATGGGTCGTCAACTCATCCATGGAGAACCGACCGAGAAGTGACAGGTCACTACTTTTTCACTGTAGCCCATGTGTGGCTAGTCGTTATCTACAGTGGAAAGTTAGATTGAACATGCGTGTCAGATCAGTTGGTTCGGAGTAAGTGGCCGGCCAATGTTCCAACTTCCAAGTGCAGCTGTTTCATCCATTTCTCTTGAACAGATCTGTGATGTGCAAGTGCCCATGGCTGGCGTGACGGAATACCGACGTCGTCACGTCCGCTTCCAACTTGAAGCGCCCATGCGTGTCAGATCAGTACATGTTTATATTCGGTGATATCTCAAGTAATATTCCAGATGTGAAGCTCGGTACATTTCGTACCATGCTTGCATGCATGCATGCATGGAAAGCGCATAAATATGCATGATGCGGTGCTCGAGATTAGTTCAGCACTCAGTTGTACGCAAGACGACGTCGGTTTTTAGAAAGAATGTGATACATGGGAACAAGATGCCAATATAATCAGCATACTATATGCATAGCATATCGTCCATTAATCTCGATTGGGGTACACATATCATAAAGGACATACTACACGAACCGGCATGCAGTTTAGCCACACGTACACATGTCATATGTAGGGGCTAGCGCTCATACATGCATGAGTTATTGTCATCAGATAAATTATACACGCTGAAAGACGCGGTTAATTAGTTAACTATTATTTATTTCCAGTTCCAGGGACGGCTTGGCCCTTGAAGCCCTCCAGCTGCGCCTTGCCCCTGGGCCCGTTCTTCCTTATGTACACCCTGTACTCGTCGAAGGTCATCGGCGGGTAGAGGGACGGCCGGTCCGGCGTCACCAGCTCCGGCGCCGGCGCTATCGGGACGTCGCCCTTGGGGTTGTAGAAGAGCGCGAGGGAGATGCGCTCCTCCTTGGCGTTCACGATCACCCGGTGCTCCACGCTCTTGTACACTGAGTTGCTCAATATCTGCAAAACTAGTGAGCATATATAAGTGACTCTCGTACAGCTGCTAGCTTGTTGACGCCATGCATGGAGCGTTCATGGCTTGTGCACATGGAATGTCTATGCCGATGAATTAATTGTCCGTGCCGTGCATGTGCGCTCTTGTTGTTGGGTACATGGCTCGTGGTGTGACTGTGATCCACCGGCCAGAACATGCATGAGTGTATGTCTGAGGGATGTACGTAGTTGCTTCGGAAGACAAAAGTACGTATGCAGTGCCGTAATGGAGTGATCACAATAATCGGCGTATTTTATGGCCGGCGCGGCCACCGTCCATGCATGTGGCGCGCGAGCTCTCATGCCGGCTAGTCCGAGTCAACTCCAGGAACGGCTTATTTAACTGCTGACCGTGTGGCTAAGAGATCCGTCCGATCGGCTTTGCTTCTCGAAGCCGAACGGCACATGGATACATGATTGCATGCATGCACATGCACGATAACTGGACGTACGATGAGTATATACCTGGATCTGGTCGCCGACGTTGACGATGAAGGCGTCGTCGCGGACGGGCTGCACGGTGACCCACTCGCCGTCGGCGCGGCGGACCTGCAGGCCGCGGACGTGCTCGTCGGCGAGGAGCACGGTGAGGACGCCCGGGTCGGAGTGCGCCGAGAGGCCGAGCGTGAGGTCCGGCTGCGGGCACCGCGGGTAGTAGTTGGCGCGCAGGCACGCGCCGCACTCCGCCCCGCCGAACGCCTCCTGGAACCTCGCCTCCTCCAGCCCCAGGCTCGCCGACAGCACCTTCATCAGCACCTCGCACAGCCTCGTCACCTCCCGCCCATACTCCTCCGACACCTCTCTGAAATACAATTGCACATGCATATAAGTACGTTTAGTGACAAACAATTCATGATCGAATGTAAAAGTCTTAGCATGTGTACGTAGCACTGTCTTTTTTCTAGCTAAAAGACGAAAATGGCATTCTGTTAACTTGTATTGTACAGTCTTTGAAGTGCGTACAGACAAAACAGTGACTCGGCACGTGTGGAATTGTCATTTTTTAGGTCAACCGGGTACGTCCGTCTGTTGCTATGCTTAGCTGTCAAGCTTGGAATAGTAGTCGTTACACTCTTGCCGGCCGGCCCTGACGCTTTTGCATGAAAGAACCTTTCGCCTACTTTCCGTCCCATGCACGTGTAGAAT